CATAGCATTCCGGGACTCATCTCAGTCCTTGGAGTTAAGTGCAAAGCGTTTGCGGATGAAATAAAAATCTACGCTGAGGATAGCAGTGAGGGAACGCACATCCAAGATGGTTTCGGCAATCAATGCTATGCATCAGGTCCAACGATCGGGCGAGTCATCCATCTCCTTGAAAAGGTCGACTAAAGTACACATCTGCGGTCCTACACAACGCTCACTTCTTCTACGATTCGGATGGGCTCCCACTCTCGCCTGTAGCGTCAACCGTCGACTTAGATTCTCTCGTTGAAATTGGACTTCTCCACCCACTGTGATAATGTCTCCACCGCTGTTCAACGGAGAATTTATAATTCATTCAAAGCACTTTCATCTTCCAACCCAAAAGTTTTCCATGCTGCTTCATAAAACCTACGTCAGACCTATTCTTGAGTACTTGGACGGCCGGGTTGTAATAACCCCTCGAAGCAAACTTCTATCAAGCGACTCGATACAGTTCGGAATAGTTTCACCCGAAAATTGTTCCTCAAACTGCTATGGTTTTTCTCGCCGGTCATTGCCCGATTCCTCTTCCCGAAATCAACTTCTGTGACTTAAAACTCTTGTATCTAGTGATTTTTTTTTTTTTTTTTATGTCTGAGAAATAATGATGTTTATGAGGGTCAGTAAAATTCTCAACGGCCAAGCCAAGCTTCCATGTTGCAACTTTTTCCAACTGTTGCCATCTGTAACTGAAGGAAGTCGTAAGATAAACATCACTGCAGCTCGTTCCAGTCCCAGGCACTATTTTCTTTGTCAACCGCGCCGGTTCGGCATATAACGACTAATGAAAAAGGGTTCACTACCATATCTACAAACATGCTCAAATCATATCTCGGTAAAGTTCTCCGTTGTGCTACTCGTTTCCATTTATTTTTTTTCTCTCTCATACGGTTGTTCATATCACCCTTCTATTGCTTACTGTTTGTTTCATATTTTTGTCGTTATCCTTTTCCTTGTCTTTTGTTCTTCCGCCTACTGGCGAATTGTACATGCTCGTCATGTAAATAAAACATAAAATAACCAGCGTTAGGCCAGGTTGGCAGGCCAGCTGATGAAGACAACCGTCAAAACAAACATGTCTAAAGTCGAAAAAAGAGTCAGTACTAAAGCTAGGACGTCACCCGGAAGTGGCGCGCAGAACCCCCGCCTGAGTTCTGTGGTCAGAATTGCGGGGACTGAGGAGGGGGACGGCCTCGCCATAATTATATAGTTCGCACTCGGGACTGTAAACATAGGATCAACTGACTGGGAAGCGCTCGATTGAGTGCTGATTCAGAGGTATATCACAGAGCCCTCTTAGCTCTCGCGCACACGGTGCGAAAAACGGAAGGTGTCAATATACTCCGGTTGGAAGGAAAGTTCCTACATTCCTAGTCATTTGAATATTACTCATGTTACTTTAACAAACAATCCAACCCGCATATGGTGAGTATCTGTGGTGGTGACCGACTCTATTATGAAATCACGGGGGTCTTTTCATCAAGAAAAATTTGGTATGGTCTTGCATTTTTGTTGTTTTGTCTTTTTTCGCACGTTGTGGTCTCTTATCATATTGTTTTATATGCAGGACCGGAAAAGGTGGAAAATCAGGGTGACAACGTCTGGCTGAATACGCTGCGGGTTGTCAGCGCACAACCGAACAGCACGCTTCAGCACTCTCTCTGCTGTGAGAAATCTCCGGTTTTGCGCGTTGTCGTGGAGCAGGTTGACTTTGCGCTGTTTTCCACGAAGCTTTTTCGCAACTGTGTCGAGTAAGTGGCAGTACTCAGCACTTGACATCGTCGTGACACCACTTTCAAATACCGACCATGGAACATTCCAGAGCACAAGGGACAAACTCAGGAATATCACGAACTAAGTGTTAAGGAACTTTCCTTCCAACCTAATTTACAATAGGGAAGGACACTAATGAAACTTCGGCTAGAAGAGGGCTGTGGCGCATATGCGGATAGCGGGCGTCGCTCAAAACAATGTTCTCCGCACGTTGAGCAGGACCAGCTGAGTCGGAATCATAGCGTGTAGAGGGGTGCATGACCACGAATTAGGGGACGGTACTCGACCGATACTCTCCGTGGTCGCGACCGCAAGCGGAAGCCCTAATAAGTTTGACGTGAAGACGAGAGACACCTTCAGCCTTGCGATGCCATCAGAACGATTCCGGAAGGTGACTACCTCACCATAGCAGGTGATCTGAATGGTCACGTAGGCAGTGAAAGAAGAGGCCTGTAAAGGGTGCACGGAGGTAGAGGAATCGGAGTGAGGAACGCCGAGGGAGAAAGGGGGCCTGACGTGGCTATGGCTCACGATCTGGCAATCTGCAGCACGTTTTTCGCGAAAAGGGACACTCAGAAAGTCACCTACAGCAGTGGTGGGCGGCAAACGGAAATCAACCATGTGCTCGTGAAAAGATCGTCCCTCAGAACTTGGTGAGGTATAGTAAGAGTACTCCCTGTGCGAAGGAAGCTGGCTTCCAGCACAAGGAGCCACTCTGGCGTGAACATAACCATGGAGCTCGCTCAGAAGACGAGGTAATGAAAGCATGACGGGGAATTCGAGGTGCTTGAAGTTCCACATGCGAGGAAGAGTGACCTTAAGCAGTAGGATAATGCGAAGTTGAGGTCGTCTGCAAGATCCTCGAGGCGACCAGCTGCAGCGCGCTGTGGGAGGACGACTGCAGCTGAAATCATGCTACGATGCGTCACGGAGGAACTGGGAGAGACGCGAGGTGGATTCAGAGGAGACAAGGCAGCGTGTTTCTAGATAGAGGAGGTCCAGCGAGTCGTGAAGCAGAAGTAAGCATACAAGCGATGGCACAAGAATCCAGGGACCTTTGCTACCTCACTAGGAGTTGAAAGATGTTCGAAGTGCAGCCGTCGCGCCAAGGGCAAAGAACACGGAGATAAACGACTTGTACTGGAAAGCAGAAACGTAGAGAAGTTGCAGAAACGTAGAGAAGTTCGTCTTCAAACTAGCCAAAGCCCGGCATCGAGTAGCCGAGACATATTAGAGTTGATGTGAATAGACCGGTAAAGCAGCAGCAATGGCGCATTGTCGCGAAAGAAGTTCGGAGGAGGTGGTACTTCAGAGGTCTTCTTGTGAGGAGTTGTCCCACAAGAACACAACTCACAAGCAGAAGCCACAGCTGGTTCCATCGCACTCAGAACTGAGGATGAGGTTACGGTGTGCTTGGGAAGATGAAGGAAGGAAAGGCAGTTGGTCCCGCCCATGGATGGCGAATGACCCATTAGAGGCTTGGGAAGGCGCTATACGAGAGCGACGGCGTGAGGCTGGCTCTCACCCGCTTCCTTGATAGGAGCAGCTGCGCGAAGGAAGGATGCCGGATGCCTGGAGAACAAGTACTATCGTCCCCATCTTCAAGCAGAAGGGTGACGCGATGGACTGCTCCAACTACCGCGGGATCAAGTTGACTGCTCATACCATGAAGCTGTACGAGCGACTGGTCGACTCGAAACTGCGGGAGCTGGTCCCGATCTCCCAGGAACAGTTCGGGTTCATGCCCGAAAGGTCTACAACGGATGCCATCTTCATCGCAAGGCAAGTGATGGAGAAGTATCGAGAAAAAGTGAGGACCCTGCTACCTTAGCCTTCCTCTAAGACCTTGGAAAGGGGCGTTGTCCGACCGGCTACCGGCGAGCATGTACTTAATGGAGATCACACAATGAGACATGGGGAGCGCTGCAGCAACTTGTTGGTGCAGAGGACATGCACGATGGGTTTCACAGGGTTGGGGTGGGGCAGCTTAAGCGGTCGGTTTTCTGAGCCCTTTCCCTCTTCCTACCAAGCACTAGATGTCCTGGGCCTTATAGAGGCGACACTGAAGATTGCTTCGCCTACGTGACGACATAGGCCCTGATAGCGGCATAGTAAGATGAGGAAGTACAAGCGGTAAGCCGCAGAAAATGGATAGAAAGCCTGGCCAGAGGCAGCGGCTGCTGGGTGAATGTCGAGAGGACCAAGTTTCCTGTGAGCCCGGAAGAACCGGCTGAAGCGACCCGTGGACGGGGAATGGCGGAATGCATAGGAAGAGTGGTGGATTTTGCGTACCAATGGGAAACGATCTAGACGCCGACGCCAGCACAAGTCATGCCAGGCGTGGAAAGGCGCGGATAAACGCCTACATGGATGAATGGGAGGAGATCTACAGAAATCCTTAAGGTATTCCGAAGAAGCCTCCAGAGCTCTACCAAAGTGAGTATGTAAATCGGACAGTAATTAAGGCCTGCGATGCGTATTTTACGGTAGTGCGATGTGCTGGTACTCCTGAACAAGCAATCACGAAAGCAGTTTTTACTTATTACGATGGTGCGCGGTTGAGATGGGCAGACTGCCCCTGTCCAACTAAAGGTGCGAGAACAGCGTCTGCGATGGTATGGGCATGTGCTAAGGAGGCCACAGGACCATCCGATAAGAACAGCGATGGACTTCGAAGTACAAGGCAAGCGACCGCGAGGAGCCCCGAAGAAAAGGTGGAAAGACGTGATCAAGAAAGGACCTAGGTGAGGTCGCGGCCACGATGAAGAATGGTCATGATGGAAGATGCCACTGGACAGGCCAAGTGGCGACGACTGCGCCGCAAAAAACAGCGGACCTGCGACTGCGTGAAGAGACTAACGTTAAGAAGAAGGGAAGTGGGTCAGCCGAATGCAGTGTCGCGGTTCATTGCCGACGTTGGCTAGCTAGCTCAAGCTAGTGATGTTTGTAAGTACTGACAAGCTATGCTAAGTACACCATGAAAATTGAGTTCGGGCGAAACAGTGCGTCAGTAGCGTACATTTTAGCACACTTGCCCTGTAGGAGGTGCGTGTTTGAGCTCCGCTTTGGCCGAAAGTTTCGATCATAACCCAGTATTCTTGTCAAACATTTTTCAGAAGTGATAGCAGCTTTTTTGGATTGTTCAGGAACTGATAACTACAAGAAAGAGATGGTATGAAAGGACCACTCACCGTATTTGCTCCATCAACTCTACTAATTACAGCTCGCGTTCTGCCTGGAAGGATCACACTGCAGAGAGAGTTTTCTGTGTAGGAATATTTTACTGTTAAGTCCATGCCAACGACGTCAAATGGTACTACATCACCGCATTCTGCAATTTTGAAAATCCACGAGATCATTGTGAGCAGAGGGTTCACATCCCAAAAACGACTTCCTCATACCGTACTGGGTCTTGTAATAAGCAATTCCAATGTGAGACGCAGACGGTAGATTTTTCGTATGAATAATGTATTTGCGTTGATCACCAATGAATAAAGCAGCCGCATCTCGTTGAAAACACGGAAAGGAAATCATTTTCGTCTCCATCGACTCTATCTGTATTAATATGGAATCCGTTGGCAGTTTAACGACTGGGCTACTAATATAGTGGCAATTCATGTGCGTGTTTTCCGGTCTGTTGTCCTACGGGGGGACATTTGCTGTTAACAAAAGAAAACGTCAAAAACGGTAATGTCGGCCAAAGCCTTAAAATGCAGCTAACAAAACAGTATAAGCCAACACTTGTAAAATCTGCAGAGCCTTTCAGAAAGAATACCAGTTAGCGAAACAGAACATGTGAGAAGCTTCAATTAGTCTTCCTTTTGTAGCGGGGGCTTTATTTCTTAGCTATTTATTCGGACATTATTTGATTTTATTCGGTGTATTTTTACTGCCTTACTTGCACCCTTCCATTGACTGCGTGTAAGTCTGGTCGTTGTGGTTGGCTCTATTGTGCATTCCTTCTTCATAGTAGCCCAGACATCTTCAACATGTTCCCCGTTACTCCAAGAAAAGGCCTGTAATATTTTTGTTTTGCTACATTCTTGGCAGCCCCAGCACATGTAACGAGTTTAGACATATTTCTTTTGTTAACAGCATTGTGAACAGTTGCAACAGCGTGTTCCCCCTTAACAACAGGCCCAGTTTTTCAGTCGGTGTAGTAAATCTACATTTTTATGTTCAAGTTTTTCAACGAAAACTGCGATGCCAGTTGTCAGTCTGAACTAATGTGATATCACAGTTGCCAAGAATGCTTCAGAAACCAGGAATGCTGAGCAACGTTCATTAGTTAGCACTTCTTACCATAAGATCCTTCAAATGTCGTTTACATTTGAATGCTTTGCCTGATACAGTAATCTGTACAGCGCTTTTTTCGGGCACTGCGACTTTGAGTGAGCACTGGTCGTTTTTTGGTAGAGTGTAGCTGCCTTCTGTGTCTAATAGTGCTCCACATTCTGAAAACAGAAGTTGATATGTCGCAAACCTTGTCTCGAAGGTATCTGTCCAGATAATCAAATTCGAACGTATCGTCTGTTTTGGCTGTTTTCTCCTATTTCCAAGAAAATTAAACTACAATTCTATGCAATATCACCCAGTATGACGAACTAAAACAAACACATGGATACAAAATAATCATAAATACCGTATATTGAATCAACTCGGATGAATCATCAATTATTCATATTTTACAACGCGATAATATTGCAAAGAGCGTGGAGGGTACAAAATTTATAAATGCTCACCTGTTTTCCGATGCCGTGTGTAGAATGAGAGAGCCTACAAAGAAAAAAAAATGATGTAGTATTTTGGCGGTACACAAATGAAGGCAATAGTCATTACAATAAAAATGGAACAAAACCATATTCCACAACCGAAATCATTCAGTTTCCTCTTTGGAATGCAGTTGATGCAAGGTACGAACTTCAAGCTGTTTGCATGTTCACAGAGGCCGAGAGGGGGAGACGTTCAGTCCACCACCTAGGTCAGGTCACCAGAGCTGCGCGATCATTGAAGCCTAAGGTTAAGCTTGGGTTAGGCTTAGGCTTAGGCTTATGCTTACACATTGGCTTATGCTTAAGCCTATGATTGGGCCTAGGCTTAGTCCTAAGCTTGCTTCGAGCAAATGAGTGGTGTCTCAATTTTGGTGACCTGACCTGAGGAGAAGTATAAAACGCACTGCTTAAAGGCATGATTTGGGAATAAAGAAGGAAAGCAAACGAAACCACCGATTACGCCCCGCACAGAGACCTCCCCTATTTCAGCCGCATTCCACCTTGGGATAGAGAAGGGCGCGTTGGACGAGTTTCACGAACCTAGCTCTAGCTGCTCCAGAGCCAATGACATCGGTTCGCATTGCTAAAGAACTGGTAGTAGTACTAAGCAAGACAAAAGGACACCATACTCTCGCTAAACTAATACTGCATAAAATGCCTAGTAGAGCGGCATTACCGCCTGTTAACCTAGAGCTGCTTTGCTCGGTATTTCTATGGTTTCCATAGTCACTTCTACTCATTGCTTAATCAGTGTTATTTACTATATTCCAGCGTAAATCTGCTTTTATCAGCTTGACTGTTCCAATTCATGTTGTTTTACTGAGGCCTAGAGTTCGAAATCATATGTAGAGTCGGATTTGTGCAGCCGTGAATATGTACCATATTTTCAAAAAACTTTGGTGACGCAAGAAGTGCGATTTCTTCGCTATCATGCGCTGCATAGGACAATTTGTTCCCGACTCGGGCGTACCCCAAGAGGCCCATTGCGCGGCGAAGGAAGAGGCGCAGACGCGGCAAAGGACGAGTCGCAGCGCATACTGTAGCAGTTAGGCGTCAGATTAAAGGACGAATTCACGATGAAAAAGCAACCCATTTCAAATTAACCTAGGGATGGTGAGTGGTACACGAAAGAAGGAAGAACCATGAGAAACGGCCCAGAACCCGAGAAATGGACCCCCTTCCTTGCCCGTTGATTCGAGCATTGATGCGACTCTCATCGCTGTGCCCTCTTCAACACTACAATTATAACTTCGTCGCTAGCGTTATACGCATGCATTTCAAGCAGTACCAAAGATCATAGGACGAATTCGCAATGACAAAACAGACCATTTCAAATAAACCTTAGCGCTGTCTGATCAAATCGCCACCATGGCCGTGGTTGATCAGCTGTCGCTGCGTGTCCTGGACCCACCCCGCGCCCAAACACAGACTATCTTAACAAGTCGCGAGTCCAGCCTTTGGGGCCAATCGCGCTTACAGTCCGCACCCTCAGGAGGTGCGCGAGTCTCTCAACTAGGTGTATTATTCCTTCCTCGAATTTCATTCCAATCGTGAAATTGTCCTTAAAGGACGAATTCACGATGAAAAAGCAACCGCGAGCTTCAATTGAGCCTAGGGGAGTCGGAGTGCTACAATTCGATATATAAGAATCGTTGAAGACGCATGAGAATTACGGAGAAAGGATGTATACCCGTGTTGTCGCTCCACTTTGGCCCGTTGATTCGAGCATTTGATAGCGACGCATCGCGGTGCCATTCTTCAACACCTTCTGCTAAACCGGCTTCTTCAAGATTCTATCTAATCACTCGCTCCCGTATTGAACTACGGCGAGTGACGGTGCGTAAGATCGCGGACGTCCGCCAGGTGCAAGCTCGAGGCGTTCGCGGTTGTTCTCAGTGCGCACCCTCAGGAGTCCGTGGGTCCCGCCGGCTTCACTACCGTCATTGTCCCTTCTCTCGAACCTTTCAGTCTAATACGTGAATTCTCTCTTTGAAACACCGAGTGCACCATCCCCCACATTCCCATATGCGCATTGGTAAGCAGTCACGCCGCGCAGAACCGCGCCTTTCCCGTGTTGCGCTCTTTCTTCGCCGCGATATGGCCTCTGGGGACACCCCCCACTCACAGAACCTATTAGTGTAGGGGTGTTCCCAGTCCTAGATCGACCGCGACGCCGTTTTTATTCAGCATGCTTTGAATAATTTGTACAACGTAAAGCACTAGAAGCGATGGTAATAATAAAAATTCGAAGATTCTTTTCCATTCCTTCTCGCTTGGTCATACGCCTTTATTTCTAACTGATGAAAAGTGTTTTGTTGAGCCAAGGGGACACTACGCTACTTGTTGATAAGCGGCACTATCTAATCAAAATCTACATAGATAACACTTCTTACCACGCTCACACCGCCGCACTGCAAGAACCGTCCCGCGCTATTAGTACATCTACTTCCGTGGATTCAGCCTGAAGTTTTTGTGAAAGGCACACTGCTCAGCAATCGGATTAGCATTACGACTATTGAGGACGCAAAACGGGGGCATTCTACGGTGCAATTCCTGGTGTGGAAAGACGTCAAAGCCGATGTATGTAATCAAAGCATGAATAAAATTAATTGGCATCGGCTGAATCACCCTCGTGCAACTTTCGCTGAAAGGAGTGGATTGGAAAGTGAATTTTGAGTTTAATTTCGACGATTTCGCCTGTCCATGCAGGTGATTGGTAATGCAGGCAATAGAAATTAGAGTTCAGTTTTCGTTTGGCTGTAGCTACATCGTTTTTGCATCAACTTCCGAGCCACCATCGAATATGCAATATCCGTGTTATTCCACCGAACTTTGGTAGGGAGATGTTTGTCGTACAGGAAATCGCCTCTTGTGACAGCTATGATACTCTTTCACGTTTTGCAGGATTTTTTCATACCATCGGCGCGCTCATGTGCTACAGTGTTTTGTGCGCGGCACGTCCAAGAGAGGAATGCGTTATTGTATCAGGATCATCATCAACCCTTGCATGCTAGTTTTCAACGAACTTGGTGAAAACAGCTGTTGCAGAAGCTTGACGCGCAAAAATTGTTCGAAATGGTCCGATAAAAAGAATTTCTGGTTTCCAGGGCGATCTAGCTGCTTGAGAGAATTACTTCAATGAATATGGAATGAATAAAGAGTTTGGCGCTCATGTAGTTAGAGAAGCCTCGAAGAAAGTGAGCCACTACCCCACCCCGAACTGACTAGGCCTTGAAGTGGGGGAAGGAATTCAGGGGGAAGACCTGAGTAACCTGTGGTTTTCCTGGCGTTTAACACCACTCCTGAGCTTAGACCTAGTGCCAACTATATGCAGTTTCTGAATGCCTTGCTCTTAATGTTCCTTCTGAGGTCACGAGCGGCAGAAGTATCTTCCCAGCAACTGGGTTAATCATTGTTACTTTTTTAAGATTTTTCCACTCCAAAAAAGTATTCGAGCCGAACAATAGCCTTCACTATTACAGTATTTTTCTCTGCTCTCTATTCAATATCTGTCTAGGTACAGTCAACAGAAAGCGTTATAATCTTGACTATTCTTCTCGGTCACAAATATCTGTAAACTCTAAGGCCGATGACATAGTCTGCGAATCGAGCATTCGCTAGCGAATCGCTGGATCCAAGCGTTGCGCCAGCGAATCCAGCGGTATACCTGCGACTCATTAGTGGTGGGAGCCAACGTTCATGGAAGACCGCCACTTTCAAACAGTGTCACTATCAAGTCCCGCCACTTTCAAAAAGGGTCCACTGTCACGTGACACTGTTTGAAAGTGGCGGGCTTCCTTTGAACGTTGGGTCCCGCCACTATTGAGTCGCTGGTACATAGTTCGACTCGCTGGTGCAACGTTCGATTCGCTGGCGCAACGCTCGGATCCAGCGATTCGCTAGCGAATCGCTCGATTCGCAAACTATGACATCGGCCTAACGACTGCGTTACACAGAACGAAAAGTTCTATACTATTCGTATTGGCTTTTCTTGTTCACTTCTAAGTGAAGTATGTTTCCTTGTTTTACAAGAAGTAAACAGGCAATGGTGTCAAAGCCAACCTTAACGATCGGAATGCCGAAAGCGAGCAGAAGCACAACAGTTTTCATAGCTTCCGTAAACCTGAAGCAACAATCTTATGATCGAGATTTGACGACAGCTTATAATTTCCATAGAGAAAGCAATCTATGTATAAGGAAACTACAATTATCACCGCTGACGTCACAAATGAAGGATATTTCGATTGACTAGTAAGAGGAGGACTTTAGGTGATAATTTGATGCATGCAATCATTTTGCAATCAAGAACAAGTGAAGTGACAAAAATGCGAATGATACGAGTTGTAAGATAATTGAATAAGCGAGAAAGCAATTTAGTAGCTCGCCGATTTCAACAGAACCAATTGCTCAAATTCTTCTTCAACAAGGGTGATATCATTTTGAATGACGTCATTGTTGTAATATAAATAAATTTATTGGGCTGCTGTATTGTAATGCTCATAACTTGAGCACTGATTACTCGAAGCTATTAGAGGTACACAATAAGTGGCGATTTGCACCGATGTATTTAAAACATCATAACTCCCGTCGAATATATATTTGACACAAAAGTAAGTATCGTCAAAATTAGATAATGAATAATGGCACCAATCGAAAAAATCTTTCCAGTCTTCGTTACACTTTGGTGTATATGCAGATGCAGATGCAGGCACGCTTGCATCAAGAACCTATGAATGATGTCTGTCCGAAGGGCGATGTCCAGGAGAATAAGGCCGGTTAAGTAGGACGTCCTTGTACGGTGTTGCGTCAATTTTTGAATGGTTTTCAAAATTCACAGCTTTTCACATTCCGCAGTAATAGAAGTAATATAGAGCTATACTGTAGGTCACTTTCCTATTGGTTTTCTCAATTTTTGGTGCATCAATTCCATATCGTGATAGGCAACAACTTTTGCCAACTGTCCTCGCACAGTCGGGAAAATGCTCATTTTTTCTCTGATATAGGAAATTAAAAGAAGTGGTCTAAAGTGAAAATGGTTCTTTCCGATAAGTTCTAGCGGCATGGTTTACTCAAGCCTTACCACGATTGCACGATGTACGATTAGTGCTTTTCGTGATTGCCGCTTTTTGCTTCCCGATATCTGCTTTTAAATTCGTTGTAGAGTGGGCCGGATCATATATATCATATATAATCTCAT